GGCAGGCACCGGTGGCGCTGCGCATGCGCTGTGAGGAGCTGGGCGCGTGCGCGCGCAGGGCGGGCTGAAGGGGCAGGCGGCAACGCGGCGCGGAGGGGAGCGGTGTTGCTGCTGTGGGGCTCTTCTTTCGCTCTGTAGGCGCTGGTGAGGGCTGTCTGCGACCGGGATGGTCCACTCTGGGTGCCGGGGAGCTGCAGCGACTGCTTCCGGGGCTGGTGTCTCCTCATTCCTTGCCAGTGCTCTCACATCGGTTTCTCTGTCACGGGCCGGTGGGAGGGGGGTTCAGGGTCGCTGGTGTAACCTGGCCCCCAACCCAGGAGGGCTGACGGGGCTTTTCTCTGTAGTGGGTTACATCCCGTTAGGAGGGCTGCAGGCTAGGCCCCTGCGTGTCCCAGTTCCCGATGGCTTCCCAGGTTCTGCAGCTCGCTGTGGGAGTTTGTCTGAAGCCAGGCTTGTCTGCACATTAGGGTGCCTGTAGCTTGCTGTGCTTTCTCCTCCAGAGCTGTACCAGCAGTTCCTGCCCTCATCTTCCCTGCTGGCTGCACATACCCACCCTACAATTGTGCCAGCACAGCTGGTTTTGTAGGACTACATACTGATTTAGGCCAATGAGTTGTTCTGGGTTTAAAATAGCCCTGCAAATTAAAAAGGTTGTCTTTATGCAGGACACTTCACTGACTGTATTACCACAGGGGCCTGAAAATAGGGAAGAGCTTAAGTTCCACTGGTGCCATGGAGGAATATGTGTCTGTGCACAAGTACAAATAGTGATGTCTGTAAGAATGGAGCAATATTTACCACTTTAGCTTGTTCTCAGATCTCTTAAATTCCAGAGTAATGCCTGTAGAGCCTGGATAAATGTGTATTGAATTCTATTCCGGCTCTGCTGAGTTCTGTGAGCTTTTTCCAGAAAGGAATGTGCTTTTTCAACTGTGTGGTCTCCATGTGGCAGCACTTGCATAAACATAATGTTAGAGTACAGCTGTCCTTAACTGTGAGGGTGCCGTGTTCCTGCCTGCCTGACAGCATCTCTACTTTCTCGTAGGGCACTTTGGGGCCCTGCAACTGTACCATGGATGGGACTTCAGCAGTGTGTCAGGTAACTAGGGATATGTTAGCATTCACAACATCCCAGTGAGAAAATACTCTTTTACAGGGGGGAACCCATGGTTCATCAAATATATAAGAAAACACCAGGTGCTTGATTTCAGCTTATCCAGTGGTTTAGCAAATGAATATCCTTCCTCTGCTGATCCTGTTCTCTCTCCAGATGGACTGTAGGTAGGAGCCAGTCATAATCTATTTTGAAGCTAGAGTCACAGTTTCCCTGGTGATGTGTGGAGTTTTCAGAAATGGCATACTTCCATGCCTATTTTTTCAACAGATTAAAAAAGCTGCAGATCCTTGCTGAGAGCCCAAGATACTAGGAGAGTTAAATCACAGCAGCAAGAAAAGAAGTCCATTCTGTTCAGTCGTTCACAGACTACAAACAAAGCAGGACTTTCTTATAATGGCAAAATTCACCATTTTTCTGACTCCTGCCAGACCACTGTAAAAAAGTCTCCTTTTGACTGAGGGTCCCCAGACTGCTCTTTTTTCCCCTCCCTTCTCAGTCCCCCATCTCCCCCTGTTTTCAGATGAACCACAAAACTACAGGACTTATGTGGTGGTGGACTTTCTCATCAGGTTTGGTTTCCTCTGTTACAAGCAGTTGGAAATTTTGTTGCAAGAGTTCCCTCTGGTGGTCAGGGATGGGGAAATAACTAACACTTTCCTGCCGTAAGACGCTCCTTTCGCTACTTTTTATGCTGGACTGATCTCTTAGTCACTCTCTGGCCTTCTTTATTTGTAACAGTCTTTTCTTACTTAGGAATTCTCCAGATAATGACTAATAATCTTTTCCAAATTACTTTTTCCTCCACATTTTAACCCCTGCACTCCTTAGTAATTTACTCCTCTTGACCCATCCTTTCTGCACAAAGGCTACCACAAAGGTGGATCCCTTCTACCCAAACCTGCTTCCAACACAGGTCTTTCACAGGCAGAGGGATTGCAACCTGAGATGAATGTGAAAGAAAAACAAAGCTCTTAGCCACAATCTCAGAAGAATAAATCAGCTTGTAATTCTGAAGAATGTACTGTTAATAACAAGATTCTGAAAGAAGTTATAAAATTTCAAGAAAATATTCCATTCTTCTACCTGGCAGTAAAAGCCTCACTGGCACCCAGATCTGGTTTTCCTCTCTCACGCCCGGTTTTCCTCTACTGATTTTATTGTCCTTACCAATTGGTCTAGAGATTTTTTTTTTTTTCCTAAGGAGCTCTAAAACTTTGGCAACCGATCTAAAGCTCCAGTTAATCAGTAGAAAGCTTCTTGCTGAGTTCAGTGAGCAAGTCTTGAAACTGTGCCAGGCAGAGAGCGCTGTAGTACAGCAATGTTCTGTCTTAGGCAACAGTCAAGGATGTTAAAGCAAAATAAGGAAACATCTGGGTTAACCAAAGTCTTTGTCTGCTCTTTAATGACAGTGGTGAAAAGCAACCTGCTGTCACACAATCCTGCCCTAACTGTTACTTTGAAGGGTTAAGCTTTGTAAATCTGGTCTAAATCACATACATCAATACTGTATCTTACTTACAAAATTAAAACTAAAGGAGGAAAAGGTGCATCTTTTGGCTTCTTTTCCCCCATGGCCTCAAGAAATAGTGTTTCTGCCACAGAAATGTGTTTCCTCTTGCAATTATTTCAGAATCCGCTCCTTGCAGGAGGTGTCTATGTCCTGTTTACTACTCCTGCGTTCACATTCTGTGTGCGTGGCCTCTGCCATAACCATTCACACCCACCTTGGAAATGTCACCTGTGTCAGAGGTTCCTGCCAGATGCTGGCTACGTGATGTCACTACCAAATATAGCACTTTTGGTGAACACATGTGACATTAGCTATTGTGTAAAGAGCTCTGCGCAGAGACTGTTAAAAATAAATAAGCTTGGAGTGTGTGATGGGCAGCAAGAAGATCTATTAGTCCCACTGGATTATGTGTAAGAGGAGGAGCATTTATGTTGCCAGCTGCAAAATTTCCTCGTGATAAAATGAAAATTAGCTACTGAATTTTGCTGGGATGTACTGTCAATTTGGAGGAAAAGTGACATATTGCAGGGCATGGGCTGTAAGGTTTTGGTTTGAAGAATGTGCAGAACTGAGGAGTGGAGCAACCTGAGTGGGATGGAAGAGTTCTGCAGCCGGAGAAATATTAATAATTCTTAATTAATTTGTCTGGGTGTGACAGAAGGGGGAATGGTAATTCACGGTGATGAAATGTGGCTGTGGAGCCCATCAGTTGTGGTGTTGTGCCACGGATGGGGAAGTATCGACGGCAAGGCAGGAGCAAGCCCTGGGCTAGAGCAGGGTGGTGTGAGAGGTGGGACAGTGAAACCCCCCCTGGTGTATTCAGGCCCGGGGCAGACGGGGCTTCTCTCTCAAAACAGCCTGAACACCTTGGTGGGAAAACAATTCTTGACAAAGAGAATAACTGAGTCCAGGCACAATAGGATACAAGCTCACTGCAGAGAAGTTTAACCTGAGAATTAGCTTTATTTTACCAGATGTACAATTCCAGAGGGATCTTCCTACTGTATGGAAGAGGGAAACGAACATTTTAAGAATTCAAATCACTTTTTATAAATTCGTCGTACGAAGAGAGCCTCCTATAGCAAGCTCTGGACCTTACAATCTCCCACCTCCACCCGGTTCTGTATTTTTCCCTGGTGACGCGACCGCGGCCGGCCCGGGGAGCCTGGGGAAGATGGCGGAGCAGCGCTCCCGCACTCCGTAGCCCTGGCGGACCGGCAGCGCCGCGCTCTCCCCGTGTCTCTATGGCCGCGAGGTGCGCCCCAGCG